ACTTTCTCAGAATGCATTGCAGCAGGCTGTAAATGCAACTGATGGTTACCATTGCTCTGTTCACCTCAGAAAACTCATTTCCTTCTAGTTCATTGGACATTTCAAATTAAAGAACTCTACATAATGATGAAAACAAAGTTTAAAGGAACATTTATACATGCCACCCTGTATAGAGGCAATGCGTTTCAAGGGGATTCATATCTCTTAAGACACTGAATTTACGTTAATGGTCCAGGAGTGTTTTAGATATAGCTATAGATATATTTATATGCATATATATTCCAAGAGGAAGTGTAAAAATCTTTAAAAACAAATCACAGCACTCACAGCTGCTTTACATAGGAAGGTCTCAGGGTCACTGGGTGTCAAACTATTACAGACAGGAAGTGACTTTAAAAAGATGAATGGCACATCAGGAAGCTTCGGACGTTTTATTAGAGGTCCATTTCTCATCACATCACTGATGTGTCTGTCGACCCTCTGCTTACAGAAGCTCTGACCCTGCCACTTGTAGCCTCTTGCTCTTCTGGATCAGTTAAAGGTCAGGAAAACGACTTGGGTCTTCCTTGTAGTCCTCAGGGATGGCAAAGATGGACCCATCAAATTCATCACATCTGAACTCCTGAAAAGTCACAGTGGCTGTGATCGTGGGAAACACAGGGATATCTGGAAGAACAAATGGTGAGACGCTGTCAGATGCCCATCTGTGACATTCCTTCACAAAACTGCATTTCCAGAGTGACCCAATATGCATCCACCAATGCCTGTGCAAGGAAGGGGGCCTCAGCTGCCCCCTGGGCTTCTTTGGCTTCCTTAGAGGCACATTCCTCTTGTCTAACAGATAAGGTCACACTACTTGAACACAGCAATCACATAAGAGAGTTTCTGGCCCAAATGGTAAGTGAATCTGCAGAGTACATTCATCTGCTCTGCTCATTTGATTCTGACCTCCTGGAAACAGCAGGCCAGGCAGAAGCTGGTCTGATTCCTAAAGCACTTTACCCAGGGGCCTCAGATTTCATCCATGAACAGCCTCTGAAGTGGGTCTATCCACAGTGAGAAACACAATAAAGTTACTTTTGTCTGTAGAATATTCTCACATCAGAAACAGGAGGGGAAAGCTTTCATGAGACAGTAACCACAGGGATCCTGATACTCCTAGCTTCCACTGCTTACTATTGTCGGACACAGTCTCACAGGAGTCAGCAAACTTGGTCCTGTTTTTGTATGGCTTGTAAGAGTTTTCCTAACCCAGATCCTTAGATTTCTTTTAAAAGTTTGGTAATTTTACATTTAAAACTATGACCCTTAACTTTTGTGCAAACCAAGGTAGGAAAGCAAGGCTGGATCTCTTTTATTTCCTTTTTCTTCCTCCTCTGTGTGTGTGTGGGGGGGTTTCTCTGTATAGAGATGGCTGTCCTGAAACTCATGAGCTCCCCTTGCCTCTGCCTCTGCCTCTGGAGTGCTGGGGTTAAAGGTGTGGCCCCACACTCTGGCTGGCTATGTGCTGGGTTTAAAGGTGTGGCCCCCACACTCTGGCTGGCTATTTCTGTTTATGGAAGTCCCACCACCTCACCATGTGTAGTAGAAAACTATCTTTTCTGCAATGAAGTCTGCTGCACAAATAATAAAAACCCAGAGACAGATATTGGGGTTAAAGCTGAAGGTCAGAGAAGCAAAGCAGCCAACCACTAGTTCTTACCTCTACCAATGCTCAGACCAAAAGGTGATCCTGTCCTCAGACTGCACTGCTCCCCAGTCTCACAATCAGCCCCTGTCTCCTCGCACCTTATATTCCTCTCTAGTGCTAGGATTAAAAGCCTGGGATCCCAAATGCTGAGATTCACCTTTGTGTGAGCTCTGTTTCTCTTTTAGACTGGATCAACTTCATATAGCCCAGGGTGGCTGCCCCTGTCTCCCGAGTGTGGGATTAGGTGTATACCACCACTGCCTGGTTCTATGGCTGAGGCTAGCCTTGCAGTTTGTTATATCATAAACGAGATATGAGCACAGAAGTGTTTGTGCCTTTGTCAGACTGGGAGTGTGTTTGAGGAACTTCTGGTCCTCTGCTTGTGTGCACCACATGTCTATAGTGCTGGAGACATGGAGTTAGGATCAACCCTCGGGGAATAATTGCTAACACATCATGACCGATTCCTTGTCAAAACAGTTGAGCTGTTATGACCCTCTTAGGGTCTCTGCAGGGACATCTACCCAAGAGTCACCGGGCAGTCCCTGCCCTGAGAAAGATCAGAAACTGAATACCACTTTTCAGCTTGTGGAAATCTGTTGAAGCTTAAGAGGTACCAGGTTAGAAGTGGCAAAATTATTACCCTAGTGGCAATGCTGGTCTGATACACCAGTTCCACAGCTACCCATGCTCTCACTGCAGAAGACAATCTGTGACGGCTACTAGGAAGGACCTAGTAAACCAATGTGGAATCCTGCTTCCTGCTGCCCATGTGAATATTGAATGAACTTGTGTGTCAACTATACCTCTGCAAAGGTTTCTTAACTTTCTCTTGCTTACTGGTGCTGTGCACTCTGCATCTCTTTTGTTTCACTGTATATCTCGGAACCTATTTTAGTGACTGAAATGTTCACACACACTCCTGCAGGACAGTGCTCCCATGTACTTTATGTTTCATTTCATTTAAATCAGAGAAATCAAAACTTGCATCAGGTACTATATTCTCAACATTTTATACATATAACAAAACAGAAACACCAATGCACTTAAATAATAATAAATAAAACCTTGAAAATAAAACTGGTATATTCATTGCCCTCTAAAATATATACCTTACTAAATTTGAATTTAAAAATACAACACTAAAATTACACCTGAATTTTTGTCTTACCTAATTTTACAGGAAAGCCTGGAGGAAGCTTCATTTGAACAAATTCTCTAAGCTTGTTAAAGTGCTTGAAGGGTGCTATTACTTCTAGAACATTCAATAATCTGAAAGATGAAAGAATAATAATGTTTCCATAGTTCAAGCCCTTAAAGTTGGTCTTGAACTGCACAGCTCAGACCAGATAAACTGAGGCAGATTAACTCCTCAGTGCTTCTGGGATGCAAGACTGAAGTGAACTTCCACTTTCATGACTGAACTTCACTGTAAGGTTAGAAGGGTTAACCTTACTGGTACTTATGAAGCTGCTCACATACATTTAAGATCACACCATCAATCCTCTGCTATATTCCACAGAGTCGCACCACTTTATCCCAACACCTACTATTATTTTTCTTTCAACAGGGTGTGTGTCTCCCAGTGCCTTGCTGTGTAAGCAACAGCCCAACACACATGGATCATAGTTTTCCTTTACCTTACTTTTCTCTGGGGCTGAGACTTTGGTTCCAGGCTCTCATGCATACAAGGCCAGCACTCACCACTGAGCTTAATCCCAGCACTCGGGAGGCAGAGGCAAGTGGATCTCTGTGAGTTCGAGAATAGCCTTGTCTAGTTCCGGGACAGGCTCCAAAGTACAGAGAAACCCTGTCTCGAAACACGTGCCTCCCCCCACCCCAATTCCTGAGACATATACTCTCACTAACTTGCCCAGGCAGGCCTTGAGGTTCTGATCCTCCTGCCTCGGTCTCCCAAACAGCTGGGATTGTGGGCCTGAGCATAATGTACCCTTTCTTATGTGTCAAAAACTATGGGTGGGTGACTTCTATGCTTTCTCTGCCCAAATGCCTTAAATTTGTTTCTTAACTGAGGGCTAGGCTACAAACAGAGGCCATTATAGAATTATTTGCCCAACATGAACAAGGTCCCAGGTTCAATCTGCAGCACTACCATAAACAAACAAAAATATCCCAAAGAAGCAAAACCCAAAAGTTTATTTAGAACCAGGTGGGGTAGTTCACACCTGTACATTCACATAATCCCAAAACTCAGGAGGCCGAAGCATGAAGACTAGGGGAGTTCCAGGAAAGTGGGGGCTAGAGTGAGGCACTATGAAAGTAAAGCAACCTTGTAGTTTAAAAGGGTAATTTTCTATGGTGATGGCTCCATACCCACTTTGGAATCAAATGCTATCTCAGGACTCAGCCCTTTCCTACAGAGACATGTCTATCCCATCTGTGAGTGGATGCCAGTCCTGCGCTCAGTCATGTCTTGATCCTTTATGGGCTGTCAAAATTTAATTTCAGCCACATCTACTCTCATCAGCTGTGTCTGATGTATCTGTTTTGTGGTAGTCCTGTTCTCTGCTCAGTTTAGTATTCCTTTGGCCTTTCCATCTTTTCATTTCATTCTGTCGTTCATCTCAGGAGTGATATAGTTACACTGATTCTATTTCTGGATGTGTTTTTCCACAGCAGTAACAGGAAATTTCTCCTGCTGTAGAATAGATTCTTGTGTAGTCCCTGTATGCAGTATTCCTTGATTTCCTTTGTCCTAGGACGCATGTAATACATCTATTTCTCACGTCTTTAAGGATCTCTGGAGTTAATTCCAAGCATATTATAACATCAGGTGATGGGGAATGTACTGTGTATGTTCATTTTATTGATTGTTAAATAAAATACTGTTTGGCCAATGAGACAGCAAGTTAGACAGGACTAGGAGTCAAAGAGGATTCTGGGAAATGTAGTAGAGAAGTGGTGATCCAGGCAGGAAGTGACATAGCAAGGAGACTCATATTTAACCAAGGAGAAATAGGAAGTGGCTCTCTTTCCCCTCCGTTCCTGCTCCAGCCGCACAACGTGATCCACCGGCAAGGAGAGACGCCAATAAGGCGTCCGATAAGATAAGTCTTATAAAATATATAGATTTATGATAGTTAAGAGTGAGCTAAAAGATGAGAATCCTAGTCATTGGCCAAGCAGCTTTGTACCTAATATGTCTCTGTATTATTTTGTCCATCCACGCAGCGGGCAGAACTTGGGCGGCTGGCGGAGACCGCCCACGTGGCGATAGGGCTCGGGCGGCTTTGGCAGAAAGATTTATTGTAACAATCAGGTGCATTCCTTTATTAGGAATCAGAGACTCAAGAGGACCCAGGCATCTCCCCATGTCTGCTTGAGGGTGGCAAAGGCAGGGAGAGCATGAACAGATTTTGTTGAAAATTATGGACCCTGCTCTCTTCTCGAGGGGAAAAAAGAAAAGTCAGCCTCGTGGGCCAGGTTGAAAGGGGAATCAATTAGGGGAAAATACTAATAACTGGGTCCTTTAAGTCCTATCCAGCCACATTTTCATAAGGGGCAAAGAGCACAGCCTGTCAGGGGTGAGCTGAGCACCCACCTCCCTGTCCACTCATCTCTCCAAACTCAGGGTTTCTAAAGGAGCATTTGGTGAAGATGGGCTTAGAAGGGTTATTTCAAGGTGTGCACTGCAGTACAGTTTCCAGTAGGGACAAACTGAAAACAGAATGTTTGCCAGTACATGAACAACAAAACAAATAAATAACAGGCCATCAACATTATAAATTCCATGAAAAAGAAAACAAACAAACAAAAAAGACAAATGTGGTTACTGTTGGAATCCAGGACATCCTGTCTCATACAGCACAGAAATTTGTGTGGTAGATTAGGATCATCCTCAGGTTCTGCATTTAGATAGTCTAATGTGATGAAAGAAAGTATCTTTTAACTCCACAAATCTTTATGCTTTGAGTTTTTCTATAAGCATGTATTGCCTTATTTTCTTTAGACTATTCAAACTTTATCTATAGAAAACAATACTTCTGCAAACCAGAAAATTTATGGGTAGGTGCACAAACTCTTGAGGGAGATTTGTCTGCTCTTTTTCACATTTCAACACCTCAGATGCAAACACTGGTGGCTGCCAGGACCTTTTGTAATCAACAGTGCACTTACGACTCAATTCCCAGGGGAAATTCCTGGCTCATGGCTACAGTGGCTTTAAATGTCTTCTTGCTCTCTTTGCACACCAGTTCTCTGCCCAGGTGTGGTGCCCTGCAACAGAAAGAACACTGTTAGGGAGGCTTGCTAGGAACTCATCACTCTCCATCAATATTCACTAATACCCAGGGTTAGTCTACAGAAATATAATTATGCTAAAAACAAAATTGAAGTGAGACAAAAACAGAGTTTAAAAGTTCAGAAACAAACATCAATACTCAAGCATTTCATACTGCATAAAACACTTTTAATAATAAATACTACTTTTAGGAACAAAGAAAGTCACTATTAGTCTCTTCCCCCATCTACTGTAGTGTCAGCATTAAACAATAGATATTACTATGACTAAAGAATTCTCTGTAAATATGCATTGTTAAAATTATAACAAATTTAAAACTCATTCTTTTGGTGTGTGTCACTACACTGAGGCAAAACCTCACTCTAGTAACACAGAATAAGCTGGATCTACAGCTTAGCTGAAGAAAGTGGAAATTATTTCCCTGACAATTAACCTAGAGGAGACCTTCCTTATTCCACTGAGTTGTGTGACTGGGCTTTCCTGCCCTGTTTCAAAGTTCTGCTGAGCTATCTGGCACATGCCACAATACATGATGGTTTCTCTGACCCACTGTAGCAGCTAACAAAGGATATTAAAAAAAAAAAAAAAAAAAAGTCACTTGCAAAGAAAGACTATGCCCAACACTGTAAAAAGTATGCCCATCCAACACTTTAACACTAGAACAGAACATGGAAAACCTGTAATTGTGGCACGCTTTACAATAAGACAAAAACAAGGCACCTTCTTCCAGCACAGTGGAGTGGGTGGGAGAGGTGCGTGCACGAGGGGCTGTTTTATTCTCCACCAAAAGGAAACATAGGTGAGGCATAATAAACATCCACTCCTTCATTCAAAAGACCCTTAATTCATCCACCTCTCTTCTAATCAATACACATGTAAGGAACAGCAATGCTGTGCCTACTCCTCTCCAAGAGTTAGTGATATGGCAGTAAGTAAGGTTTTACGAAAAGATGCTGAGAAGTCAATGAAATGAATGATGACAAGACCCAGCTTGCAAAGGCAGAGAGGAAACAAATTGGATGGCGAAAGCACCAGCACAGCTCCCAACAGTCTGCCAGACAAGGGAAGCTGAGAAGCAGCACTCCCTTAAAACAAGTCCTACAAGGTTCTTGCTTTGCTGGTTGGTATGTGTGCCGGACAGGGGGATGTAAAAGGGCTCTAAACTCAGTGCACACACAATTTGAGAGGTTTCCTTCTCATTCACACTTTCTATTTTTTAATGTTAATACAATAGCTTCAGATACAAATACATCAATAATAAGCTCGCAAAGCTCTTGTATCTAAAATAGACTGTTTTAACAAAATTTTATTCCTAAGATCCAAAGAAAACATAAACCAAAAAAAACCACCTACTTTCCATTTTCAGCAGAAATGTATTCTTCCCACGTAATAGTGTTCTGAGGAGGAGGGGTAAGGGACTGTCTTCTAACCGGCTGCCAATAAGAGAAAGAGACAAGTAGAGTGTAGAATGTGGGGTGAAGTATATCACATTTTAAAATGTAAAGTTAAAACACACTGAGGAAGGAAAGCATAGGGAAAGCTCTTGGCTTGAGCTATATGCACCCATTTCCTAATTGTGCCCTGGGACCACCTGAAATGAGGTAAAGGTACACCCTACTCCAAACAATGCACAGACTTGGCTCCTCTCTAGCAGCCTTTCATAACCCCCATGTTTCCACTCAAACATGTCCTAGAATATGTTCAGCTTGGTAATGCACAGTAAAACAGACCGTCATCTGAGTGGACTTTTTGGAAAAACCCCTATTTGCCATCCAATGCCAATGCCTGATTAGACATGCAAAATGATTAACATCAGATGCATCATGGTAAAAGGCATACACAAGTAACTCAAGTGTGTCAATCAAAACAGAAAGCCACCATACCCCTCCCTCCTCTAACCACCAATTCCCCCTATTCTCTAACTCTGGCTCCTGGGTGCTCTAGCTCAAGTAGGCCACCACTCCTTTGCAGTTTCTGGTACTGTCTCTAAATAAAACTCCTTGCTGCTTTGCTGTTTGTGTGCTTTCCCAATTAAGTAAGATGTCAACGGCTTGGACAATACCGCCTCACAAGAAAACCAACTGGGATTGGGGTGCTTAGTGATAGACAGCATGTTAGCATGCCTCACAGAACAGCAAACAAAAGTGCTGGTCCACTTAGCCTCTTCTACATAACACTTAATGAGGACAATCCCCAAGGTAGTACCATGGCAATTTAAGCATTAACACAAATATTTACTAATATTAGCATCAAGCTAACACTACCTCTTCTTCACTGTTCGAGTTATCTAAAATCTTCCAGACATTATGCTACATACAGAAGCACAGACTGATGCAAACATACTGGCTTCAAAAAAGCATTAGAAGAAAAAACTGCGTCAACGAGCAATTCCACAGGAAAAAAAACACTACAACATTGCAGATGGCATAGATGCCTGGGAAATGGGAGCATCTTCTACTATACAGCAAGTTCAAGGCCATCCTGAACTACGAGACTGTCCCAAAGAGGAAGGAGAAACACAAGACAGGATCTATTCATACTGGCCAGGTGAGAGTGCAGGGCTAAATTTTACTGCAGGTTTCCCACAACTCCAAACTCCTGGGTTCAAAAAAAAAGCCCCAGCAGCAGTCTCCCAAGTGCCTGAAGTTCAAGTGCACAGCACTAGGTCGGCTCAAAAATGATTACAGGTCAAATGAAACCACGGAGAGCCGCTGTACAGACTTGTAGAGGCCTCCATCTTTTTGGTTTTGTGTTTTGAGACGGTCACTCTCAATGTATCCCTACCTGTCCTAAAACTTACTCTGTAGACCAAGCTGGCCTCAAACTCAGAGATCTACTTGCCTCTGCCTCCTGAGTTCTGGAATTAAAGGTGTACTCCACCACTGCCCAGCTTATAGTGACATTTTTAAAGCAAAGAGAATTACAGTGAAAAATATGAATCAATGCATTTATTTCAACTATGGTAGAAAACAGCAATAGGAGAGATAACACAAGGAGCTACCTGTTTACTGTCTTTAGAATCAGACTGTAATGTTTGTTAAACATGAGTTTAGATTACTGTAAGATGGATGAGCCAGCAACAGGAACTAAGCTAGAGAGAGGCAGTGCAAACTGAAAACTGCTAGGGAAGAATAACGTGAATGACGGCCAAGAGTAACCACCACACCCTGATCATGGAAAGGACGGGCTTTTGTTCTGAATGTTGTTTTAAAGATAGGGCCTCAGGTAGTGCAAGCTGACCTCAAGTTCACTATATACCCAAGATAACCTTTAACTCCCCATCCTCTGTCTCCATCTCCCAAGAGCTGGGATGACAGACATGAGCCAACTGGCCCACCCTCCCCTGCCCACTATGAGCTGGGATTGTCAAACTGGCTTGTTCCCACAGTTTGCTCCAGACTTTACAAATGCCTGAAAAGGCCACAGAGCCCTGTTCCACAGGAGCAGTGGTTGCGCAGAAGAGCCATCCTTTATGACAGCCCATAGAAAACAGGAGCTGCCTCAAAGGAGCTGGATAATGGAGAAGAGCCGATAGCTGGGTTAGCCAAAAGCCGTGCGCGGTGTACACAAAACCCAAGCTCTAGACCCAGCAACACATACATATAAACAAGGGCTGGAGAGATGGATGGCTTAGTGGTTAAAAGCACTGGCTGCTCTTCCAGAGGTCCTAAGTTCAATTCCCAGAAACCACTTGGTGGCTCATAACCATCTATAGTGGGATCTGACACCCTGTTCTGACATATAGGTATACATCCAGACAGAACACATTAAATAATTTTAAAAAAAAAATTCAAGCAGAGTTTACACACACACACATATAAAACTTTTTATTATTTTATTCTTTTTTTAATATGCATTGGTATTTTGCCTGCATATGTCTGTGTGAAGGTGTCACATATGGGAATTACAGTTGTGAGCTGCTGTGTGGGTGCTGGGAATTGAACCTAGGTCTTCTAGAAAAGCAGTGCTCTTAACCACTGGCCATCTCTCTAGCCCTCAAGCAGAGTTTTATGTAGCAAAAGATTTATCTATAAATTCAACGTCATAATCATCAAAAGCCCCACACACACATATTTTAGAAATTGACAAACTAAACTTAAATATTCATCAAGAATCACAAGGTTATTACCAGGTTTGTTATGCACAGCCACAAAGCTGAGGCAGGAAGATCAGAAATCTGGGGCCTGCTTAGGATAAACAGATGATCCTGTCTAAAAAACAAAACGAAAAACCCCAAAACTGTGTTTTTCCTGTCCTACTATGATCTGGTGCTGAGACACTCCAGCACCAGAAACTAAGTCTACATCTGTCCCACCAGACATGAGCCCCCTGTAGCTCACCAGTCTCCTTTGGTGTCCGACTGAAGCTGAGAGCTTTGTACCTCATGCATATCATTCTGTTCCACTGTATAGCTACATCCAGTAAGCTTTGTTTTAATTTCAATTTGAAAAATTACAGCTGCTCAAAATGCCATTTAAGGAGCCCTTTAAAAACTCAAATACATTAGAACGCAATTCATGCAACTGTACGAAAATCAACTTGTCTACTTTACAGTTGAACGGGCATCAATGAGGTCTGTAGACTTAATGCCCGTATTGCTTTTTATATACATTTATGTAGCAATCACCTCATCAGAGCAAACTGGCAAACAGTTCATGAATTTCTTATGTTTGATAGTGTTCCATGTTTTCATCCCCAATATTAAACAAGGGTACTAATAGCCACCATCACAACAAAATCTGTTTTTAAATGAGGCCTGTCACACTAATTCTAAGGACACCTGGCCATTTTGCTCTAGGGGAAGTAAATCCCAATCTTTCTGCCTGCACTGACACGTGTGGATGCTTATGAACACCCCAGTGACTGCCACTATGTGAGATGTGCTTTCGTCATTTTCAAAAAGTTTTATTCATACACTAGTTTAAAAAGAAAGTGGCCATGATCTACTGGGATAATTCCATTCTTTCTCAAGGATCCATATTCTGAAACTTGAAAAATCTCCCCTACAGAGTAAGTTACCATCTGGGAATATAAATAGAGGAAATGGCTGGAAGAAAATAGAATTTAAGAACCTACAAGAGAGAGCTCAGTGGTCAGAAGCACTTGCTGCTCTTTAAGAGGACCCAAGTTTAGATCCCAAGAAGCCTCATCAGGCAGATCATAACCACCTGTAACTCCAGTCCCAGAAGCTCTGACACACACTTCTGGCCTCTCTGGGCACTTGGCCTCACATGGTGTGCACACATGCATATACAGTAAGTTTTTTTAAAAAGCAGTATCTGGTTCATATTAGAAATCATGTATCTTCTCACTTCCTACTTTCCTTTCCCTGACCCTTCCTGGCCCCACACTCATTGCACAGCATTTCAATAAGGGGTGCTCCATACACCGTTCCTGGGCTGTACAGGCTAGAGATGAGCTATGAAGCAGGTGAGCCTTCAGCTGTGTCTTAAAGGCAGTGGACAGCAGGATATGGAATAAAAGTTAACATGCTTACAGGTTTCATGCTTACAAAATGACTTTCAGCTATTGACTAATGAAGACTCAAAATTTACCAAAGGTCTCCCAGCACACTTTGTATTCTTAATAAACAAAGACAATGAAGATTCACAGGTAGACAAGAGTTAGTAGAAGCGCACCTCGAAGTTCTGCTCCGCCAGGCTCCCACCTTTGCTCAGGCTCTCCATGATGGCCTTATTCCGAAGAATGTCCTCCTCGCTGAGGTGTTCTCTTCTTTTCCTTGATTCTAGAACAAGTCCATTCACCAGATAAAAGTCTGCCAAAAAGTTTCCTACTCTTTCCTAAAACAAAATCAAATATTCCAAAATGACAGTTTAAAGAAGGTTGATCTCAGATCTTTAAAAGCATTGAGATCATAAAGTTCTCCATAAATATGTACCATGTGGGTGAAAATATACAATCATTCATTTGCAATCTGCAAAGGGGAATTTAAAGTACAAAAGACTTATGCTAATTAACCTGCAAATTAAGCAGTCCAAACAGAAGCATGAATAATGTTTTTTCACTACCTACTCCCAAGCAACACAAAACAATCTGAGAATCTTACTCAACAGTCCAATATGAGTAACAAGGAGGGGTCAGGGGTAACGCTGTTCCCATTTTATAGATAGAAATGCAGAATTAAAATCCTCAGTCCATGCCACACGGCCTTCTCTGCTCTCTGACAGGATAAAACCTCAAGTTACTGCTACTCACTATTTTGAAAAAAAGAAAACAAGAGCAGCCTTGCTCACTAACACACGTGAATGTTTAAATTACAGATACAGATGCAGAAACTCAAAAGACAAAAAATGCAGCAAGAAGGCAGCAGGCAGTTCTTTCCAGGGAAGTCTCAATTATCATCTGACACTGACCCATACCTCACACACCCACACAGACCGTGTGAAACTATATGTTATGAACTTTCTTGACCTAGCTTCCCGTCTCCACCTGTGCCCAGGTTGACTACTCCACCTTGCCATGCCCTGGTTTTCCAAAATTATGTATACAGCACATCTCCAGTGCTTCTGTACCTCCTTCAGAGTCACCAGGAAGCCAAGCATTTTGTACCCGTTTCTACCTACAAAATGGGAACTATGGCATACTGACTCCCTCCTTACCTGTCAAAGACTTAAGAAGACCACCTAGCCGCTGTTCAAGAGCTTTGGGCTGCTTAGTGGTAACACTAGATGGACAGCAGTTTCAATTTTTATCTTCTCTTGAATTGATCCGTCTAATGCTGCCCAGAAGAACAGAGCACAGACAAGTAAGACGTCAAGGCAACAAATGCACTACAATACTGGACACAAAGCCTGGCGTCCTGAGTGCCAATGTTGCCAAATAGGCTTTGCAGGCTCAAGGGTAGAACTTATGTGTGTCTGGGAGTTGTTGATTAACAGGTCTTGTGAGCACATAAAGCAGCAGCATTTATCAAATACAAACTGCCCTATCAAGAAGAATGTCAGGAGTGTGCTGCTTATGATCCAGCCACTGCTACAGCATGCTGTGTCTATCATTCCTGCTGCCTGTAATGTGCACCACTAAGGCATGTGGAAAATGAATGAACTCTACTACAATGGAGGAAATGACAGAACTGTGTGCCAGCCAAGACTAAGGCTGCAGGAAAAAGCATACTAACTATGTAACATAGAAACTGCTAAAAGAAGTAAGCAGCACTCATGAGTAGAGGCTCCCACCACACATTCATGAAACAGCCAGTTCCAAAGCCTTAGACATCACTGTTAAAAGAGTATCGGTACAAAACACTACACATTACTTACAGATACATATTTATGTGTAAAAAATGCTAGAAGGGTCTGCAGGAATTCCAGGACTATAGACTAGTGGTCACTGGAGTCTTCTGGCTTCATATATAAAGTGTATGGTATTTAATTCTGTTATGGTCAACACCCTGTTGTGGTGGCATTTTTAATACAATTAACACTGAATTCTAACTCTGGAAAAACAGGCTGGGCGGTGCTGGTAAACGCCTTTAATCCCAGCACCTTGGGAGGCAGAGGCAGAGGCAGATCTCAGTGAGTTTGAGGTCAAAGTGAGTTCCAGGACACCCAAGACACTTATGCAGAGAGACCCTACCTCAAAAAAAAAAAAAAAGCTCTGGAAACTATGTGAGTCTCATCCAATCCCTTGAACCTTAACAGAAAACACTAAGGATTCTAGAAGAAAAAGCAATTCTTCAAAACCACAACACAAAAACCCTCATATCCAGATGGTACCAACTCTCCCCTCAGCATTCAGCCTGCTATAGCAGTTCAGACCTGCAAACTCCCATAAGCACACAAGTCAATCCCTTAAAGCAAGAAAGCCCCCCCATACCACCCTCTCCCTTTTCTTCCCTTTTCTCCCATACCGTACCTCACTCAACCCCAACACCCTTCACTGTTATCCCCTATGAGCTACAGTTTTAAGTGAATACAAGGTTTGTTTTTCCAATGTAAAAACTTATTGTGTTCACTTATTACATTCAAAAAATGTAATTAAATGTCTTAAATTAAAATGTCTTTGCCCCTTACCCGATGCGGCTCTTATTGTTAAATTTATGGTTATTTATTAATTTATAACTAGGTATTCAGTTTTTAAAATGTTTCATTATCCATTTCATTCAAAATTATATAACTCAGGTCAGTTTTAAACTGGAACACTCCTAGCTCAACATTCCATATGGGTCATGTCAGGTGAAACATTTTTAGCATAATTTTAGGTAGTCTTATGTTGTCTCTTGCTGACAGATGTGATGGGAATTATAGAAACTTCCACTGAGATTTAAATTCACTACAGTTTTATAGAGATGTAAGCACAATAAGAGCAGACATATGATACAGGAGCTCTAAAGCGAAATAAATTCAAGTATATATCTCTTCACAGGCCTCTTACACACAAAGCATTAGAAAAAGGATGGAGCCACGTACAAACTCCTTATGAGGAAGGCAGACAACAAGAGTTCAAATGAACTACACTTTCTCTCTGGGCTTTTCCAAAAAATACACACAAACTATGCAACTACAAATTCTAACTACCTATGTGGGATTCAAAAAGGAGGAAAGATCAGACTAAAAGACAATTCCTATATGTGCATCATTATTTTGGTGATATTAGATAGCAATTTTCTTAATTAAAAAAAAAAATCTGTATTTTTACATACTGTTTTATCTTCCCGAAAAAGCCATCCAGTTTGGGCACGTGTGAAAGAAATCGATTTGGTTGATAAAGTTGCAGAATAAATATCACTGCTCATTAAAATATCAACTTCTTCTTCTGTTTCCATTTCTGACTCCTAGGTTGGGGGAAAAGTTAATGTAAGAATCTGGATTCCTTCAAAGATGTAACAAATCTCAAAAGACAAAAATATATAGTTTCTAAATAATGTGAAGTGTTATTTATTCTAAAATTAGATGCTTACATTTCACATCTGGTATATTCTCTAGTAACTCAGAATTATGACTAATTATGAGTCTGTAAAGCATGGCACATGAAATACAGCATTTTTACACTATTTTATAAATAAATGTAATAGACTCACTGTTACTCATTATGGGACTGTATGTGGTCTGTAGAACAATTTTTTTTAATTTCTTTAAGAATTAAATAGACCTGAGACAAAAATCCTATACAAAGGTTTTATTTACTTTAAATGCAGATAAATTAGCCTTTAGTTATTGCTAGTATAAGAAAATAAATCCATCACTGTTATCTGAGTCTTTTTTTTGGAGCTGGCTATGGTGGAGGACAGCTTTTACTCCAGCACTTGGGAAGCAGAGGCAAGGAAGACCTCTGAGTTCAAGGCCATCCTAGCCTCCATAGCGAGTACCCAGCCAGTCAGAGTTAACATGGTTAGACCCTATCTAAAAACATTAAGTAAATAACTAGAAGATCAATGGAGAAGAGTGGGTTTTCCCAATACTTTTTATTAGAAAAGGAAGTCATAAACATGACCCCTAAAACTTACTAATTACCTTGCTTAAGCTGTGTCTTTTCTTTCTTTTAAGGTATTTTTCTATATTTGTACATGCATGGTATGTGTGTGGATGATGGGGTGGGGGGGACATATATGCCATAGTGCACACATGAAGGTCAAAGGACAATTTTATCGGCTTGGTTCTCTTTCTATCTTCACTTGTGTTCCAGGGACTGACTTCATGTCACCAGACTCACAGAGCTAATCTCTGTACTTGCTTCCAGGACAAAGAACCACGTAGCAGGAGTTGGGGAGCTAGGGAGCAAGCAGGCAGATAGGCAATGAGGTTCTCTCTCTCTCTCTCTCATAAACAGGCTAAAACGCTCTCATATTAGGTAGAGGCTAGGGAATGAAGGCTGTCCAAAGGTCTGCAATGGCTACAAGCCAAAGGCTATTTCCTATTCTTCACACCTCACTTTCACTGCATAATGCTGTGCCCCTGTCAGCACAGAGTCTAAGGCAATCAGCAGCAATAGACTGGAACTAGACCAACACCATCTTTACCACCCTTACAAACAAACATTACTGCTAATGCACAATGAGTGGAATGAATTCCTGGGTAACACAAATACTGGACAGTTTTCTGAGTATTTTGGTTGCAATAGGTTGAGAGAACATGATTATATTGCATTTCAAACTTTTTATAAGTCATCTTGAGTACTGAACACTGTAAACCCTTTTCTGTGTTCAGACAAGCTTTAGGAACAGAAATCTATCTATAAATCAAGCACTCACCAATGAACGAGACCTGCTGTTAATTATATCCTCTCAACAAGCATTTAATAAGCAAACATTGCTTGTGTTTGCATATTACAACAAACTTCTACTATCAACTCTTAGTATCTCCAAGAGTTTGATTCTGGGACTCCTCAGAGATACCCAAACCTGATATGCTCCAGTCTCTAGGACAAAATGGCATGATGTCTGCACATAGCATGCATGCATCCTCACATGACCTTAACATTATTACTTCAGACAGCACAAACATCACACTGATCTGCAAATAGGAGGGCCTACTGTATTCCTGTTCTAAAGACTGCTGCTCAAAATCTAATTTCCCTGAATCTTCACAATACTAATATAAACACATCCATATATATTACCCCTGAGCATCACCACTCAAATACCTTCAGCAGAGGATTCACCCTCCCACCCACGCCCCTTCTCTCATAAGCACCACTGCTCTGGTGACCATAACACTATGTCAGCTAACATTTGCTCTACTGGTCTCATTTCTGGCTTCTCTTTTAGTGCTGTGTTTGTGTGACCACAGCTGTCACTAATACAAAGATGTCAGATTATCTAATAAAGACTCTAGAACAGGTATCAGCAGCCTGCAGCTGGCAAGCCAAATTCAGCTGTGGCCTTTCTACACGGAGTTGCACTGAACGTGGCTGTGCTCACTCAGGCTGTGCATGGCTTACAATGCAGTAAGTGGTTGTAATGTTCTATCTAGCTCATGAGTGTATCTAAAAAGTCCCAATGTATCCTAGATCAATCTATGGTGTAAATGTTGTGTTAGGTACCAGAAGGTACAACTAAAAGAACCCCTTCTGGAAGATGAGCCAAATAGAGAGGAGATGAAGAGGCTGGGGATGGGGGTGGGGCATATAAACAAAGTTTTTTTCTCTTTTTAGAAATATACAGCTCAGGCCTGCCTCAAACTTGCTAAGTAGCTGAGAATGACCATTAACTCCTGATCTTGCTGCCTCAAACTAGCAAATGCTGGGATTACATGGCTTTTACCATACTGTTTTATGTGATCAAACCCAAGGTCGTATGCTGCTGGCCAAGCACTCTTATAAATACACTACACCCTGGCACCTGATTTGAGATATAGTAATAGCATATACAGGAGTACTGGCTACTTTTGCAGAGGACCCAAGTTCAATTCCCAGCACCCACATGGCATTTCACAGCCATCTGTAACTCTAGTTCCAGGGGATCCAACACACTCATCTGGACTCTAAAGGAACCAGGGACACACATGGGTACCCAAACATACATGCAGGCAAAACACCCATACATATAAAATAATAAAGCAACTTTTTAAATTAAAACAAAACAAAGAAAACCATAAACACAATGGTCACTTGGCATGGAAAAATTAACACTAAGTAGGTGACCTTGGATCTAAGAATGCAAAAAGGGCCTTCCAGGTCCAGGAAATAGAAACAACACAAACGACACATGTGGATACCTATAAGTTATCTACGAGTTTATCTAAAACAGCAAGCCAAGAGAACGACTGGAAAGTAAGTGGAAGTGAGGTGACATGAACGGAGCCAAAGGGTTGCAATTTCACCCTTCAAGTGATACAGACTTTTAAAATGTCTTAATAAAAAGAGCCCATGACCTTATTTTCAAAGTTCAATGTGGAACAAATTAAAAGCAGACAGAGGCGGAGTCAGGAAGGTCACATATAAGGCTTTCATAATACTTCAAAGGAGAGATACTGAAAAATCTAAATTCCAGAAACAACGGACCAAACCTGAATGCTGACATAATGACATAGGAAAGAAATGGGTAGGCATGTTCTCATAGAAATCAGTCTGAGAAAAGGTTTCCAAGATATTGATACCATTCACCAAAGAGAGGAAGCAGTTTTGAGGAAAACAAAGGGGTGGTTGTTCTTAGACAGTGTGCATCTTAATTTACCTCTTATGTTCCACACAACCCTAGTATCACCACCACCCCTCCAATGAGTTACTGTAAAATCTCCTCACATGATTTCGTTGCCTCCAATTTCTAATTCATTTCAGACACTGGGTAATATTGGAGCTGTCACCTGTAAACTTCAGTTTCCTAATCTATGAAACAGAGATGCTAATTTGCATATGTTACTTGTGGCATAAAAAGCTGTAAAGCACTTAGATTATAACCCCAATATTAAGGGTCAGGTTACTACAGGAACTGTTACTACACACTGTCACCACAGCACCTGGCAGCTCCTAGCAGCGATGGCATGTGTAATGGGGGGAGGGTAATTTCTTTTTCAATACCTTTTCTGTGGTCCCCTGTTGCTGACTGCAGCAGACTGTGAGGTAAGTTTCCTGGGTTTAAGCCTTAACACTTTATCACTCACTGATCCGTTCTTGACTTCATTCACCTGACTCCTCTCCAAAGAATACCCTTTCTCCAGCTTCCTTTCTTCCTCCTGTCAATCTGCATTTCTTGGTGTGAGTTAGGAACCGATTTCATCATTGCACACACATTAACTATGAAGGCCCAATGTAAGACAGTGAGTGAAGAAGCAGCAACTAGATGTGGGAATGACAAAAACAAAGTAAACATGAAGGGAAGAACTTAAAATTCATCACAGGACACTCAGGAGGCTGAGACAGGAGAAGCATTTAAGCTCAAGAGTTTTCCCCACCTCAAAGAAACACAGAAACAACCCGCACGGCTCTGGTGACATGTGGATACTGAGATACCTCGTTTGCAATAGGAAAAGGGAACAAATGAGGTAATTCAATATACAGCAGTAGACAATGTAGCCAAGGGAGAGGCAGAGGTAAAAGGAGATGGAGGTAGAAAGTGGAGCTTGTGTTTGGGTGCTGCAGAAGTCAGTGACGAAAGCAGCTCAAGTGGTTAGACATCACAGGCTCAGCACTGAGAACCAGTGAAAACCAGGAGGAGACAAGGCCACAGGCCTAGGGATCAACTGAACTCTCAGGGTGAAAACAGATGACTAGGAGGAGGAAGGGTACAAGAAAGAAATGAAAGCTTCAAGAATACTTTATGCTTTAAATAAAGCAATTGTACAGAGGCTTTGTTAGATAACACATTTCTAACCCTTTAGGGAAATATTAATAACACATGCTCACCTCATGATGTATCCGCTGATACACTTTTTGCTCATTGTCTAACACTACAAAAGACTCAGAGGGTGCAGCATCTCCATTGAAGATGAAGCTTAGATCCCCTCGTTGGCACTTCATGTCAGTAAAGTCTATGAGAGTTGTGTCAAGCCTGTAAAAGATGGGCAGGTAAAAATTGACAGAATTTGATAAAACTTTATTAATAATTACATAATTTTTATGCCTTCTAAAATCAAGAAGTTAATACCACAACCCAACTTAGAATTTATAGACAAAAGCTAAAGCTAAAATGCTATTTAAAATATTATTTGAATACATACTCTATTATCTGTATTTCCCTTGTCTGAGCACTTAGCTAACCAAGAAAGAAAGAAAAATGTCCCCATGGCGGTACTGTCACTCCTCCTGTTCCACTGTGTGTCTGTTCCCCGAACTGTGCTTCCATAGGAAAGGCAGAAAGGAAAAGGAGATCTCTTCAAGATCACGTCACTAGCTCAGCATACTACTGAGGGTGGGCACAGCAGTATGTGGGCCACTCTTGAACCTAGAACACCATTCTGACTCATAACCCTACCTTACACATAAGCATGGATGCAAACCCTAGACTGCCTTTCAGGCTTGTCAATCACGTCTACCTACGGCAAAACTTCAGGCCTTTTTGTTGAGCTTCCCAGATTCAGCAACACAGTCTTTTTAAACAATACTTCCACAGCCTGAAAGCCTTGTGGATTGTAAGGATCTGTTTTACGTATCAACGTGACAGAATCTAGAATCACCTGGGATCTATTAAAATAATAATAAAACTTTATTAAGGATAAAAGAATACCCTGACAAAAACAACTTAGAAGGGAAAGTGTTTATTTTAGTTACAATTGCAGGAAACAGCTCATCATTGCAGGGAAGTCGAAGTGGCAGGAGGCTGAAACAGCCAGTTTAGAATCACCTGTAGGAATGTCAATGGCCTTAATGGATGTGAAAGCAGGTGGCACCATTCTCTGGTTTTAGGCCCACAAACAGTCTTACAGAACAGTTGCTGAATTCTAAGCACAAATACTTCTCTCTGCCCTTGACTACAGATGTGGTCTGTACCAGGACTGTCATGATTATACAGAGAAACCTTATCTTAAACAGAAAAACAAACAAGACAAAAAAAATTATTATTTAAAAAAAAAGTGAGAATGGTCCCCACATGGATGGCTCACACAATATAAAAAAGTGAGCGTGATCCCTATGTGTACAGCATACATACTACATAAAGTGAATAAAGTCCCCATATGTCCATGGTACATATACACCATCAAGAAGCAAGTATGATCACCACATGCGCACATACACACCACAAGGAAGTGAGTGTGGTCCCTGTGTATATAGCATACACACACCCCATAAAAAGTGAGCACAGGGCTGGCTGGGCAATGGATGGTGGCATACACAGGCAGATCGCAGCATTCAAGGCCAGTCTTCCTTCCGGTCTACAGGGTAGCCAGGGGTACACAAAAAAAAAAAAACCTTGTCTCAAAACACTAAAATAATAATAATAATAGTAATAATAATAATAATAACAATAATAATAATAAGCACAATCCCTACATACCACGTGTATGCACATATATATACCACAGGAAATGAGCATGGCTCTCATCGCACATGCATGCACCATGACTGCAAGTCAAGAAGCCCTAAGTGCTCTCAACCTCTTACAGGAGTAAAACCTTTGCTGGTCCCTGGTCTTCTCCCAAGTGATCTGCCAGCTAAATGGCTTAGCAAGACCTGTCACTGTGCGCACACATGGCCCAGCAGAAAGGAGTCAGCGGTCATGGCAGAGGTTCACCTAGTACCAAAAGGGAATCTTACATCAAAGAACACGATTAAACATAGACTATCAGGCTCACAGCTTCAGACACTTAAGAATTCTGGACTCTACATAAATCAATAGACAACACAGAACAGTCCTTTGTCTCTATTTCTGTCCCTACCATCCTGAGAACTGTAATGGGTTTCCAGAATGGGATAGAGAAAAGAGAGATGTACAGAAAAGAGGCAAAAAGAAAAACACATGGGGACATGTGGAATCTCAGCAGGTCCCAGCTACTTAGAAACTAAGGCACAATAGTCACACATCCAAGGCTTAAGGTACATTAGATCCAGCAATATCTACCATTAGTCAAAAACTCCCCAGTTACATTAAACTCATTACTGTCAACTTTAATTCCTTATGTGTTCCTATAATATAACTTAAGGGGAAAGAAATATATCTATTCCCCCCTAAGTTAGCATTGGTGTGTGTGTGTGTGTGTGTGTGTGTGTGTGTGTGTGTGTGTGTGTGTGTGTAAAATTATAATTTAGAGAGAAAATATATACATATAGAGAGAGGATATATATCCACACAAATTTTCGTTCGTGTGTGTGTGTGTGTGTGTGTGTGTGTGTTTATATTTCTATATATGCTCTACATATACTTTTCCTACAATGCTCCTGACATACCAGTGGACTATGCACACAGCTCACAGTAATGCAGGTGGTCACCGTGGTATATGCAAGTCTAACTACTAACTAGTCTTGAGCTTAGAGCCTATGGCCTAAATATTGTCTTAACCTAGGCCAGTTGTAAGCAACCTAGAGGTCCCCAACTCCCACAGGGTACCCAGGTAGCTTACTATACAACCCATACTTCCCGAATTCAAGTGATCCTCCTGCCTTGGCCTCCCAAGTAGCTGGGACTACAGGCAAACCACCACTGTGCCTGATGGGCCTAAACATTTAAATTTTGCTATGTAATTAGACAAGAGGAGCTTTAAACAAATATAAAAATTGGATCCAAAATATTCTGATGAAAGCCTAAAAAAGCTTCATGCCAATGACATGCAAAATAAGCCTTCACAATATAGCAAAGATACTGTAAAGAGGCAAAATTTGTAGTGACTGTCTCAGTGATTTGTCAAGGGTATTTTCTTTCTGTGTCTGTCTGTCTCTCTGTCCACCTCCCAACTCCATTATATAGCTCAGGATGGCCTCAAACAGACCCTCCTCCCTCAACTTCCCAACTTCTGGGATCATGGTCATCTTAGGTAGCACCTTAATTATCAATATTATTAGTAAAAATGTTAATACTCTTAAAATTTTTACTCTATGTGTTTGAGTGTTTTTCCTGCATTTGTATGTGCACCATATGCATGCATTGCCTGTGGAGGTCAGAAGAGGACATTGGATCCCCAAGAACTGAAGTTACACATGGTTTTGAGTTGCTATGTGGGTGCTCAGAACCAAATCCAGGTCCTCTGAATCGCTGAACCTCTCTCTACCCCACTCACTCTCCCTCTCGAGCCAAGGTTTTTTCACTAGGTAGTCTAAGCTGTCCTGGAAAGCAATACATGACCCAAGCTAACCTGGACGTCATGATGCTCTGTGTACTTCTCGAATGCTGGGATGACAAGCACATGTGCATCACCATGGCGGCTTTATTATAGCAGTTAATCCAAGGATGTTGTGCTCTCTCTCCTTTGCCCACTGAAGTACTTATTACTCTTTGACCACATTTCTAGTAATTACTTGGCTGGCACAAGACAAACATAAATTCTACTGATTCCTCTGCTAATGTATTTTATAATTCAGCCTCCTCATTAGACAGGTCCCAAACGTGGGACTTTCTCCAGTCTCAGGCTGAAGAATGTCTTACAATCTTGGGAAAAACCTTTGCTGCACACCTGACAATCCAGCCTCTGAACTGTTCTGAGGCTGGAGGAAGTCTCACTTCCCTGAAATGCCTGCCCTCACCCTTCAACTTCTGCCACAAACCTCCTATCAGACTCTCAGTCTTGTGTTCACAAATTAGCATCCTCACAGTTTACTTGGTAATGTGCATCCCAACATTACCATTGTTCCCCCATGCCCAGTGTTGGTGATCAAATTCAGGACTTCACACACACCGGGGAAGCAGTCAGCCTTTACATCATTTGCTATACAAAGTCACACATAAATGTGAAACAATTTTTTTGTGTGTGTTGTTTTTGGAGACGGGGTTTCTCTGTATTGCTTTGGAGCCTGTCCTGGAACTCGCTCTGTAGACTCCCTCTAGCCTCAAACTCACAGAGATCTGCCTGCCTCTGCCTCCTGAGTGCTGGGACTAAAGGCATGTGCCACCAACGCCCTGCCTGTGAAACAATTTTTTAAATAGTTGTTTCTGAATAAACAAGAATCAAATACAACTAAGACATAAAGTGATCACTTAAAAATTAGTTTCTCTGAGCTTTTTCACCTACAAATGAAAAGTGTATATAAAACCAAATCCCTCAAAAATTAATTCTAAACACCTAAATTAATAATCTGGAGATATATAAAGATAGATATGCAATGCTATATACATATGCAGTTCATACATATATCTATGATCATGTATAGATATGCAAATTGGATATTTATTAGTATTAATTTGTAAATATACAGTTGAAATTTTTGCTACATTAGTAAGCTAAAAATATAAGCAATGACAAAAGTAAAATTTTAGAATTAGTAAAATACATTTACTTCTCATAGACTTAATTATCAATCATATTAAAGGAAAAGAACAGAAGATAATTAAAATCATCCTCAACAGCTGGGCAGTGATGGTTGACACCCTTAACCCCAGCCCTCGAAAAGCAGAGCAGGTGGATCTGTAAGTCTGAGGTCAGCCTGGTCTACAGAGCAAGTTCCAGGACAGCCAGAGTTATACAAAGAAACCCTGTCTCAAAAACAACAACAACAAACCTTAATATGTTAACTGAAATGGAAAGAAGACCAAAGACACAGCAGAGAATGGGTGGGTACACGGGTGTGGACTGAAGGGTGTGGAAGACACAGAAGAAGGCATGGTGTGGGACAGGTCCTCCTTGGGCGTGCTCATTCCCAAACAAATTCAAGACACTGCAGCATGGCCTTTCCTGATGCTTGCGTCTGCGTGGGTGACAAGCTCATCTTAACTTCAGGAGGACTTTGATGGTTTTGGTTCCTTTTCCACACTAGGTCTCCCATGAGTAAAGTGTCTGAGTGTGTTACAGTATTTTAGAGAAGCTTCCTCCAGAACTTAACTTTCTTTTACTCAGAACACAAGGTGCATCACCTCACCTGATGTTGATACCTTGCTTGTATATTTTACAGGCATCAGAAGGCAGAATTCGGGAAAGCAAAGGCACTGTAATTTTAGAAACAAAAGGTTAAAAAGTAAAATCTAAGGCATTTGAAAATACTTTTAAAACACAGCACAGTAAACATTTTACTAAGTCACCAAATGTTGGGGATTGCCTTTAAAACAGCATCTCCCACTCAGAAACTACTCAACTGCAGTGTCAACGTAATTTACATAGCATGCCCTTAACCCCAACCACTTCCAAAAGCAGCAGAACTAACTCCACCACTCCAGGCTGCTGTGTGATACTACAGATGAGAAAACACTACCGTGAGGTCACTACATGTTCCTTAATAATAAACAGGCAATCCCAAATATCATTTGGAAAAATAGCAGAAAAGGAACACATTAAGAGACATCTTTGAAATGAGGCTGCTGAATTTAAGTTTGAATCCCAAATATGTACCCTTGTAACTTAGGCTCAGTGTGCCTCAGTTTCAAAGCCTGTATTAAGAGAAACTACAACATTTACCCACCAAGCTGTATCCTCCTAGGTGTGCACACATGCAGAGGTCAAAGGCTAATGGTGCCGTGCTCTAATCAACTCCTTATATTCCTGAGACAGGCTCTCTCACTGAATTGGGAGCGCAACAATTTGGCTAGAATGTCAGATAAGTCTCTGGACCCTCCTGCCTCTCTCTCTCTGCATGGGAATACAGACACGCACTACTGCATGCAGCATTTTACACTGGTGCAAAGGATCAGAACTCAGGTCCTTATGTTTGAACAGCAAGCTAAGCATCTCCCCAGCCCCTAAGCTGCACTGGGTGATGAGCTGAGGTGAGTACACACACCAGTGCATTATCAAAGTGTAGCCTGCATCAAAGGTATCAATGCCAGAATGTAATTCTTCAAATTAAGTTGTGTTTAGCAATCTTCCATGGCCTCCAACTGGAAAATGTCTACTATTTTTTTTTTACTACCACTGAGTAATTTTTAGTAAGAGCTAGAATTACCCATTTATGAACAGCATAGAACAAAATGTACTATATATTATAGAATACAAATACACATACAAACGAAACGTACGTGTGTGTGTGTGTGTGTGTGTGTGTGTGTGTGTGTGTGTGTGTGTGTGTGTGTGTGATTATTTAACTTCCAGACTACAATTATATAAAATGGAATATACATCACAGTCTTGTCACTATATGATTTCAATAATTATTTTAGGGCTAAACACCACTAATCATTTAAGTAACTTTATAACACAAAGGTTAACTCAGATGCTGATAAAAATAAGTTTGTTGTACTCAAATTTATTAAATCTTTAATAAAAGTAAAATTAAGCCAGCTGGTGGTGGCACATGCCTTTAATCCAAGCACTCAGGAGGCCATGACAGATCTCTGTGAGTTCAAGGCCAGATGGTCTACAAAACAAGTTCAGGATAGGCAGGGCTATTATACAGAGAAATTCTGCCTCAAAAACAAACAAACAAAGAATAAAATAAAATTTAGCTTAGCTTTAAATTCAGTTAGCTTTAAAAAATGGATAGGTTATTAATATGAAACTTTGGTTTTAGACATTTTTCTCTGAATAGATTCACATTTGACAAAGGACAAAAGTTTCCATTACTATGATAAATTAATAAATGGATGCAAAATAACAAGGTCAAAATTAAAGCCTTTCATAAATAACAAGTTCTATGTTAAGATAGTGGCTAGAAGGTACTTAAAGGGTAAAATGATTGAAAGAAGATAAACTACAAAGAATTTTAATCAAATTCTCAGAAATGTAAGAATTATACTTTAAACTTCCTGAAATTGAGATTTCAATAATTCAATAACTTTACATGTTTTGAAGTTCTTTACAATAAATTATAATATTTAAAGTTTTATTTTATTTTTTTATTTTATGTACCATGTGCATGCAGTATCCACAGAGACCAGAAGAGGGCACTGGACACCCTGAACTGAGGAGTTAAATACAGTTTGAGCTGTAATGGGTACTGGGATCTGTACCTGGGTTCTCTGTAAGAACAGCCAATATTCCTAACCACCGAGCCCCAGTATTTATTTAAAAAAAAAGAGTCACACTGCAGTACAGTAACCCAGTCTAGCTGTGTTAGCATAGCTTTAATCCTATGGTTACACTTCTCCCTCAGCCTCCCTAGGACTGGGATTGCAGCTCTAAGATGTACAACTAAATTGCTTTAATTTTCAAGCTTGCTTTTGTTACAATAATTATTTTAAGGCAATTTCCCATCTTAAAGACTAGAATTTTGAGAGCTGCTTCTCTAGCTGGAAATGGATTACTAATGGGTTTTACAATGATTATGCCACACACAATGGACAAATAACAAAACATAACACACTCTTACCCCAGCTTTGAAAATCCCAGTGAAGTTCTAGGTAAAAGTCACCTAACTGAGAAACAAAATATGAAAAATTATTAAATGCGCTTTAGTTTACCACTTTGCCTATTCCCTCCCCAAAATACCTGATATCAGTTAAGACATAGAGACGAGAGGAGAAATAAGAAAACCATGTATACTACAGCAGCCTCAGAAAGATGTGGCTACCAACCATAATACCATGATATACCTCTTTCTAGAGCTCTTGTCTAGTTTATTAAACATAGTAACATCTTCCCAATTAAATGAAAATGTCTCTAATTTTCTACCAATAACACCCACACTTTATAGCCCCAGAATTTTATTTCAATTACTTAATTTAACTTTTAGTTAGCATTTATTGACCCTTAACTGGTGAGAATTTAACTGCATTTTAAAAGACTAATTAAAGGGCTGAAGAGAGGCTCAGAGGTTAAGAGCACCTGCTGCTCTTACAAGGACCAAGTTCAGTCCCCAGCACCCATGTTGGGCAGCTCACAACTGCCTATAATGCCCTCTGCCTCCCTGGGCACTCCACCTACTACCTATCTACACCACACACACACACACACACACACACACACACACACACACACTCTCCTACATATCTATCCCCCCCCCACCCAAATGCTTTCTAAAACTACACTTATAATTACTGCTTAAGTAAAGAAGCCCCACTTACCTCTTTCAGGGCTTTTAATAACCGAGGTCGTTTTTCTCCAACACTCTCCCTGGATTGCTGCTTGAGTTTCCTTAGAAGAGCTGTGACTGGAGTTTAAAGAAAACAACTGATTAGTATTTTTCTTTATTTATTCTATAATTTTCAACAATGAATGGCACTGATTTTTAATTTTTTTTTAAATTTGCATTATATAACTTGTGAGTGTATCCTGTATAATGTGTAGTATGTATGGGTGTGAAATGTGCATGCAGAAGTCACAGCAACTCTGGAGTCAGCTCTCTCTTCCCACCTTTATGTAGGTTCTGGGTGTTAAGCTCGGGTATTCAAGCTTCAGTTTTTAGGTGGCAAATGCCACATTAAGCCATCCTGCTACCCTCATTCCTCTTCTTTTTTAAAGAAACAGAAGTTGTAAAAACTCAGGGCAGCAATAAATAAAACTCCCCAATATAAACCTTTTTACAAGATTTTATTTATGTATATGTGAGTAAGTGTATGTATATGATATAAACCCACACAAACTATGAACAAGCCCTAGGGACCAAAGACAACCAGAGACCAAGACAACCAGCCATAGCTGTCTGCATCAGGAAATGCTGGGAATTCTGGGAGAGAGACTAAGATGAAATAAAGTTATTACATCCATTTTCTCCCTAGGCCATCATTGCTCACCAGGTAAGAACTTTCAGGTAAGAAAACCAATGTAACCTTGAAATCTTAAAGTGAAATTAAATAGTCCCTGATAATGCCAATAGCAGTTCAGCACTAAGTGACTTTTTTTCCTTTCCCTTTTTTTTTTTTTTTTTTTTTATATTTTGGAGAACAGGTCACTGTGTAACGGAGGATAGCCTGAACTTCTCATCTTCATGCCTCCACTTCCCCAGTGCTCGAATACCCAGTGTTAAACAGTGCTGGAAATCAAAATCAGGGCTTCATGAATATTATATATTCTATCAACTAAGCTACATCCCTAGCCCCGACTACCTATTCTACAACACAAAGCATTAGCAAAATTAGCAGAAATTAAATTAAAAGACAAGTAAATCACAAAGCTTTCACTAAAAATTTATAATAATTTTTCTTGATTTATCCAAAAGTTTTCTATGCCACAGAAAATTTCAAGGTAACGCAGATAAAGACTTTTTTTTCCCTTTTTCCCTTTTCGGTTTTTTGAGACAGGTTCTCTGAGCAGCCCACCTCTGTCTTCCAAGTGCTGGGGGTATTAAAGGCATGAGCCACCACTGTCTGACGTAAATAAAGATTGAAGAGCTATCTCCTTTAACAACATCACAAATAGAACCTCATACTGACATTTCTAAATAAATACTATTGGTTCAATCAAGTCTCCTTTAACAGTGAAATATTTGGGTTTTCACTTCATTTTGTTGTTTGCGTTTTTTCATAAGGCAGGGTCTAAGAAGCCCAGACTAGCCTGAAGCTCACAAACCCATGCCTATACCTTCCAAGTGCTTCGATTATTAGGAGTTAAATATTTATTTTATGTGATAGGTTGTAGTGAGATATAAAATTGAATACAGAGATTTCCTAAAATTGGTTTTCCGTAAGAAATATTTCCTGGCTCTCCTCACAGACGATAAACTCAAAATGGCAAAGAATCATGCCTTATTTTCTTCACTTTAATGCACAAAGATACTTTTACTGTAAATACAAGATCCTTGGAAGCTCCAAAGTCCTCACTAGTTTCCCGTCACTCTAGTAGCTGGTCAGAAAAACCAAAGAAAGGCCTCCAGACAAGCCACTGCTCCACCCCCAGTCTCTGGAATATGCACTTTACCTTTCCCCTGAAAGAATGTTATAATGAGGCCTGTTTCTCCATCTTATAGGAGTTTCTGATTTTTGTCCACAAAGGACAACTGCCACATGCAAAAAAGCACACATGCCAAATTAGCTGTTAAAATACCACAGTATTAACATCATATATTATATTTTATAGTCAAATATAGCCTCATCACTCAAAAGTTGTCCAAGACATTCAGGCAATTCACATATGTAATATGTAGATCACACACAGAACTAAATCCTAAGAAAGTATCTAGAAAAATCCCAAATGTAGCAAAGACTACAAGAACCATGAAAGTACTCAATGCTACACAATTCTTGAATAAACATGGTTTTTCTACTGTTTTTAATTGATTTTCCCACCTGAACTAGTAAATAGTAACAGTACCAGGCATCCAGAATAAATCCAGATAATTGCTTCCAATCATCCAGATTAAAGCCTGTAAATTTATACTTGCAAAAGTGAGGCACGATGGTTATTGTCTGTTTCTCTGGCAATGAAAACATTCTATCCTGCAGGAAATCCTTAAGCAGGAGGATAAACAACTCAGGCTAGCTTTGGGAAGTGCGTGAAATTGACCAGATTCAATGCCAGTAAATAATAAAAGCTGAGGGTCTCTCTCATATGGGGCTAAGTCAAGCTGCAAAGAAATTCTCAGACAGTAAAGCTGCAAAGATGACTCTTCAGACCAGCTCTGCTGGAAGAAGCAAAAACCAAAACCAGCTGAGCTGTCTGAAAGACGTTTAGAGCAACTGAGACTCCAACCTGTTGATCTGCCTGCAGACTGTGCAGTGTGCTACAAGTTCCAAGCTTTTTGAGCTGGGTGGGCTTTGCTGATGAAGCTGTCTTTGGGTCATTTTTGCTCCTTAAGTAACTACTCCTCACCCATATTCCTGTAAGTAGTAACAATAAAACTCACTGGTTCACCAAGTTGGACTTTAGTGATACCTGTACCTAAGGAAAAAATAGAAAGCCAAATTGTATGCTAAGGAGCTCTGGGAAGGCTTTAATTCCAGAGCAGCAATTCAGAAGATACCCTGGTAGAACAATGCAAGTGAGGAAGTGAGGGCAATCAAGCCTGACCCAGGAATAGGTAATT